GTCCCCATCCCCTAAGCATCCATTTCATTTACCCGCATTTCACTCAGCTACTACGACGGGATTGTATTACTATCATTCATTTCTGATGACCGCATCCATTTTGTTTTTGTTTTTTTTTTTTATTTTCGTTCATATTTTTAGAAAAGATTTTTTTTTTCTTTCAACATTTTTTAACCATTTATAAAAAGCTTTACGCCAAATAGCAGCTCCTTTTTTTTCATTTATTTATCAGAAATTCACATCTTTTTCTTTTTTAAAAAATAAAAAAAAAGGCAAAGCATATTTTAGCGAAAAATAATCTCCACATTCATCCAGTGATTTATTTAACTTTCAACAAAAAAAAAAAAAAAAAAAAAAAAAGAAAAAAAGAAAAAACTGACATATTAGGAAGAGGAAGAGAATCATACATATTGTGAACATTTTTTGGTACTTTTGGAATATTTCCATATTTGTGTTATCATCATTGATATTGATGTATTGTTATTCATTTTTTTTTTTCATGTTACATCTTCCTCATAAGATGATCAATTTTAGCCATAAGAATACGATACGAAAAAGATATAGCAGTTTAGACAAGGAAATATGATCGAAATATTCGGTTAAAGAAGTACACTAGGACTTTCCTAAAATAAGCTATTTATTGTAGAAGTTGATAAGGCATTTATTGTGGAAATAGATCGAGGATATTTATTAAAAAATAAATTACAGGAATTTTGCTGTCGCATGTTAATCAATAATTATATGATTTTAACTATTAGAGGACCGAACAAAGTGATAGTTTGGTAAAATATGCTACCGCATACACATACATTATTGTTCATTTGAAATTAATAATAAATGTTTGTTGGTTTATGTCAAAGTGCAAAACGATAAAAATGTCGGCGTTTTTTTTCTTTCATTTAAATTAGTTTATATTCAGTCCTTCAAATTTTAGTATTAAAGAAAAAAAAAGTCGTCGTTAAACATTCATTCATTCAGTATCCATTCATTTACTCACCCATTTATTCATTCATTCATTGCTATCAAAATATGATATATCATAATTGGATGAAATATCTTCATCTTTCAATTATTACTTATTAGTAAATTTCGTAGTTTTTTAAACACGGATTTTTTTTCTTTTTTCAGAAATAATTTATCATGCACTATAAATGATACCTGAAAGAAATATGTATGCATAAGTGACAAAATCATAGGTCATTGATGTGTCACATTCCCGGTAGACAAAAATCCACCATTGCTAACTTATGTAACAGGATGAACTCTTTTATTGTATTTGAATTCGTCTTTTTTAACTCTCACAGATAACTAAGACATCCTTTCCTGATCATCGAAAATCAGTAAATATTACGTTATAACATAACTGTAACTGTATGGATAACAATGATTTATATTTTCTTTTCCTTTATCTAAGAGAGAAAGAGAAAAAGAAAAGGAAAGTAATTGCATATGCTTACCAGATGTTACTTATAAAGATACTTAATAAATCTTTGTTGTTATAAGTTTGTTGAATAATTTCGTTGTCAGCGTAAAACTAACGTATGACGTACACTTTATTTCTTTTCTTCTCTCTTTTTTCTTTTTTTTTTTTATTCCTTTGTAAATATTTTATACAAATAAAATAGTTTGTGTACATTTCGATGATAAAACAATTAAAATTCTTATATGTTCTTGAAAAAAAAGCGAAAAAAACTTAAATTTTGTAAAATTGTAAAATTTCGAGGTTTTTTATACATTCATACATTTAATCTAAAGAAATCTCTTTTTTTTCAACTTTTGAATTCATAGATTTTATGTCTTTTTTTTGCTATTTCTTGAAATTATATTTTGCTTCTTTTCAATATGTTCATTATCACTTGTTATCATTTCATCCCTTTTCTTTTTTTCATGTGCTACAATCATTGATGTCCTCTAAAGCTCTTTACAATGCGTCTTTTTTAAGTTAAAACATTTTGATTAAACAGTTCGATTCGAAAATTGATACTAAAATTCATTGATGACAATAATTAAAAAAAAAAAAAAATTAAACATTCAGTCGAAACAATTCTCTTAT